TATAACCGAATAAAAGGAGCCGGCCAAGAGGCCACCTTAACACCAAAAAAAAAATAAAAAAATAAAAAAATAATCGGCAGGGGGGTTTATATCGATTATAATCTAGGGATTACTATCGATATATAGCACCTTTTAAATTTTGCTGATGTATATGTTACCATACTGGTGAGATAACTTATACTCTGTTAAGTATGTCATATGACATCCTGGATCCTGGTGCGCAGTATAGAATCTATATTCTCTAGATTTGCAGTTTTCTAACTTCACATGACTCACAAGCCAGATTGTTTTTTTATATCTGATATTCTTGATTTTAGTAATCTTTAAACTAAGTTTTTTTTAATTTTAGTATCATTTGTTGACAGATTATACCTTATCTGGTTTATTTTTTTAATAGAAAATCTTCCAAAGATCTTAGCCAATTGTGGTTCTGACAAAACCATTCATCATCCAGTAAACTCAAACTCGTGACTTTGTGATTGTAAACTGGAAATGCTAACTACTGTGCTATTGATCCATGAGTTATATATAGAGATTTTTTAAAGAAATATAAAGAAAACCTTTTTCTTACTAAGTAAATCACTCTTGGGCTTTTAACAAAAGTTGTAAAGCTCATCAAGACATATTTAATAGTAGTAAAAATGCTAAAATCAGCCTAGTGATTCTTGAGAAATCTTTAAAAAACTTTGTGCTAATATATAAAAAAGAGTACTGCTATTCTACTATAAAAAACATTATTCACACTATGAATTTTGTATTACATTAGAAAATCAATCACTATTTTTTATTTGTATTATTAAAGTAATTATTAATCAACTAATGTAGCATTTACTAATCCCCCTAAGTTTCTATTAGCTATCAGTAAATTGCTCTATTTTGATAATCATTTACGTTTGTTTGGATTACTATAGTTAGGTGCTTTTTTGTATTTTTTTTTCTTAACATTTCTTGCATATGTCTTGCTTCACTAGGTCTTCTTCAGGCTTTATTTTATTGGATTTTGCTTTGTTAGTTTGGCTTTGTTGAGATCTTTGGGTTTTACTTTATTGGATCTTGCTTTGTCAGGTTTGGCTTCATTGGGACTTCCTTCTTCTTTTTTCCATTAGATTCAAAATCTGGGATTAGGAATGTAGTAGGTGCTTTTTTTGTTTAGTTTATTTTTTTTTCTTTAAATAAAACTAACACTTCTTGTACATGTCTTATTTTGCTAGATCTTCTTTAGGCTTTACTTAATTGAATCTTGCTTCGTCAGGTTTGGCTTCATTAGAACTTTCTTCTTCTTTTCTCTATTAGATTCAGAATCTGGGATTGGGAATATGGTAGGTGTTTTTTTGTATAGTTTAAATTTTTTTTTCTTTAAACAAAACTAACACTTCTTGCATATGTTTTATTTTATTGGGTCTTTTTCGGGCTTTACTTTATTGAATCTTGCTTTATCAGGTTTGGCTTCGTTAGGACTTCCTTCTTCTTTTCTCTATTGGATTCAGAATCTGGGATTAGAAATATGGTAGATGTTTTTTTTGTATAGTTTAATTTTTTTTTTAAACGAAACTAACACTTCTTGTGCATGTCTTACTTTGCTGAGTCTTCTTTGGGCTTTACTTAATTAGATTTTGCTTTGTTAGGTTTGGCTTCGTTGGGACTTTCTTCTTTTTTTCTCTGTTGGATTCAGAATTTGGAATTGGAAATATAGTAGGTGTTTTTTTGTATAGTTTAATTTTTTTTTCTTTAAACAAAACTAACACTTCTTGTACATGTCTTATTTCACTGGGTCTTCTTCAGGCTTTACTTTATTGGATCCTGCTTCGTCGAGTTTGGCTTCATTGAGACTTTCTTCTTCTTTTCTTTGTTAAATTCAGAATCTGAGATTAGGAATATGGTAGGTGTTTTTTTGTATAGTTTAAATTTTTTTTTTCTTTAAACGAAATTAACACTTCTTGCGTATGTCTTACTTTATTAGGTTTTCTTCGGGCTTTATTTTATTAGATTTTGCTTTGTCAGGTTTGGCTTTGTTGGGTCTTGCTTGTCAGGTTTGGCTTTGTTTGATTTGGTTTTCTTAGGTCTTGCTTTGTTGGTTCTTACTTTATTGGTCTTTGTTGGGTCTTGCTTTGTTAGATTTTACTTTATTAGTTTTGCTTTATCAGATCTTTCTTCATCAGATCTTACTTTGTTGGGTCTTGCTTTGTCAGTCTAACTTCATTAAGTTTTGCTTTGTTAGTTCTTATTTTGTTTGGTCTTACTTTGTTCATTGGGTCTTGTTTTATCAGGTCTTGTGCTATTGGATCTTACTTTGTTGGATGCTGTATTTTGTTGGGTCTTGTATTTTGTAGTCTTGTATTTTATAGGGTCTTGCATTTTGTTAGGTTTTTTGTTGATTAAAGTAGAGTTAAAAGTATATTACAGAATTTAAAAATAGAATATAATTAAGTCTAGAGTTAGATTAGTATTAAACTGAATTGTATAGATTATGATTAGGGTCAGTTGATTGTTCATTATTTAAATAAATAAATAAATATTTTAAAAATTCTTTAGATATAATTAAAAATATCATTATTCGAATTTATCAAATTTGATTGAGTGGTTGCCAGGATATTTTTAATTAAAAGTTCTATATTATAGATATTTTAAAAGTTCTCAAACTTTGATCGAAGATATCTTGGCAACCACCTGATCAATTCAATAAATTTTTTTTTATTTAAAATCTACAGATCTGTAGAATCCGAATAAAAAATTTGGTCAAGTAGTTGCTGCAATATCTTTGATCAAAGTTAAAATTTTGGTGCAGTTTCCATCTAATATGCATTTTAAAAAATTTTAAAAATTTAATCAAAGATATTTCGGTACCTACTTGACCAAATTCTATGAAATTTTTTATTCAAATTTTCAGATCTGTAGAATTCGAATAAAAAATTTTCATTAAATTTGGTTAGATAGGTGCCGAAATACCTTTGATTAAAATTGTGTTAAAAATTTTAGCGCAGTCACCATATAATAGACAATTTAAAAATTCTAAAACTTTGATCAAAAATATCTTGGTATCTACTTGACCAAATTTGATAAAATTTTTTTTATTGAATTCTACAGATTAGTAGAATGTAAATAAAAAAAATTTCATCGAATTTGCTTAAAGAATAGTCAAGATATCTTTATTTAAAATTTAAAAAAATTTATGAATCAAATTTTAAGATTGTCAATTTAGTCCAATCAGAAATATGATTTACTGATGGCCAATAGAAACTTGGAAGAAAATTAATAAATGCAGAATTAGATAATGTGATCGATACAATCATATGCATGTTCATGCATATTCTAAATATTAAATGCAGTCATAAATATATATATTTATATGTATATATATACGCAATTCTTGAATATGTATCAGGTTTATAACACAGTCAAAATTCTTTAAAGTTCTTTTAGGTTATAGAAGTTATAAGGGTATATAGTAAAATTACTCAAGGAAAACCTTTTGCTTATACATGAAGTAGAGTTTGGAACTAGTTTTATTTTTTATATGTTAAAACCGGTTTTAATCGGTTGTTATATATGAAAAATAAAACCGGTTTCAAACTCTAACGTGAAGAGTAGTTTTATATACAATGTTTTAAAAAATAAGCAATTTTTGACAAAATGGCTATTCATTTTGAATTCTCATGTTCGTGTTATATTGTACCTGATCTTAAAATTTGATTTATAGTTCAGGCAATTTGCATCACAAAACTGGCACATGTTTAAGAATTTCTGTACTATGCAATAATAATTATTTATTAGCTGTAATTCATTTTATGTAATACTATTATTTTCATATATATTGATCTTTCTAATTATTTAACTTATTTTTACTTATTTTTGCTTATTTTTTCACTTTCACTCACTATATATATATATATTTTTTACTTTTGTTTGCTTTTTTTCTTTTGCTTAATTAGAATATGATTAAATAATATATACAAAAATGCGCAGTATGCACATAGAACATGCTTGATTAAATAATTTTATTCATTTTGTAATGAATATAATGAAGCAAAAGACTTGCAAGAGAAGATTTACTATAAACTACTAACTCATGTATCTGGATAATTATAATACTAGAAATGTACCCAGGTACCTTTTTCATTTGCTATGTCAAAGTTTTGTTTTATTAATTGTATAGTCACACTTCTATATAAGCAACTATATAAGCATATTACTTGTATAAGTATATTGATTTTTGAACCAACTACTAATAAAAAAAATATTTCCTTATATAAGCACATTTTCTATATACGAACACTTTTTGTGGGTCCCAATATTGTGATTATATAGGAGTGTGACTGTATTTCTATAGATGAAATATTGATTTATAGAATATATATTGTATATTACTAATCTGTAAAAGAAATTTTCACATTCAAAATAGCTCAGTTACATATTATAAGGGTATGTGATATTAATTAGCATAGTTATACTCAAAATGAACTATATTGGCAACCTAATTTCATATGTTGATATACTATTTAAATAAAAATAGAAAAGCTAAGTAATCTTTCTAGCAAAAAAAAAAGACAGAGATTCATATATTATTCATTATTATTCTGTTTACATGTTCTACTATTATGTTCAGTTTTTGATATAGGCCACATTTATTAATACATCTTTCTGTTTCAATTAATTCGAAGCTAGAGAGATCTCTTTGGGTGGACAATTTATTCTTTGTACTAACTGGACGCTTTTTCGTATGTTGTATCTATGGGTTTTGCACAAATACAGTTGGTTCTAAGAATAAACTTGACATTCTGTTTAAAGTTGCAGTTTGTCTAAGAAATGACTAAGAGTTAAATTGCTGGTTATATTCTTGCTATTGTTGCTGCAAAGAATTTTCAGAGCTAGATGATATATCTATAGGAGATTGGTAATCTTGAAGATACCAATATTGATAAAAATCGGTAAGTTGCAAGCACTGGTAGTTTATATGATGCTCCAGGATTATATGAGAGCAGGGTAGACCTATGGATGAATTAAAGGTACTATTACAGGGTCATAGTGGGTTTTCTGAAGTCGAATTAGTTGCCTTTTGGAATTGTTCGTGTACTTTTTTTAGAGCGAATACAGATATCTTGGTTACAACCTGTACGTAGAATTGGTTATTAAAGATATGAGGAATTCAAATTTTCTTTTGAAAAACCATAGTTTGAATTTCTCGATTTTGATTCTCTAAAGCAAGAAAAATTTTTTAGTAAACAGTATGGAGATCTCCTGTTGACATCTGAAGATATTTTTTTATCATTGCATAAGCATCTTTTACTCGAGACGTAGTCACATTGCCTAGGTGTAAGTAGTGATCGACCCAAAGACTTACAAAACTTTCTTTAAATAGTAACCATGTATATTGTAAATATGACAAAATCGAGGGTTTTTCATTATATTTTATCTCTAATTCTTCCCACTTTTTATTAAAGTCTGTTTCTGTTTTAGATTTTGTGATATCTGTCTAGTTTTTTAAAAAATCAATACATTTTTCTTTTTCAGAAAAAGAGTGCTTACAGTTTGCTGTAATATTTTTTTCTATATGCCAGGTGCATAGAAGGTTTTGTGATTCAAGAAATATAGTTTTTACAGCACGCATTAATGCTAACTCACAATCAGTTATAATTACTCAGGGCTCTGAGATGTTTTTAAAAATATGAGCCACACAGGTAAAAGCCCACTCATAATCACTTTCTTGCTCGGATTTTAAAAATGCAAAACACGAAGAAAATATCATATTAAAACTCATAGTATCAATAATATGAAGTAATGGTATTTTAAATCTATTGGTTTTATACATACAATCCATCAAAAGAACTGAATTGTATATTTTAGTCAGTTTGATTGAAGTAGGATAAGCAAAAAAAAGATGTGTTAAATGACTACTTTGATTATATTGAAAGTTATGCTCAAAATTTCTCTCACTAAGCTTATCAAAAAGAGCCTAAATTGGTATACACCTTGAAGATTATTATGATAAATTTTGTCTCAGGTATTGTAAATAGTTTTTGAGATTGCAGCAAGATTTGGGTTACTTTGACGAAGAGTTGAAAGCATTTCTCAGAGACGAATACCCGCAGCATATATTTGTTGAACTTTATAGTGTTCGTCTATATTCAATCGATAGTATATTGGATATTCTAACATATCTTCAGAAGCTTTGTAGTTATAAATAGCATTGTTTATAGTTAAATACCATTGACCATCTTTTTTTTTTACCATATAGTTCAAAGGGACATTCTATTAATTAGGAACTTGTTTCTCTTTTATGGGTCTTATCTGTAAGATTCAAAGTGTTTCTGTAAGTACTGCCTCTGTCTTATTATAAGTAAACAAATTTATCTCATTCAGACCTCTTTATGCAAACTATATAACTGTTATTAAAAGTATATGTTTTAGCATATTATATAAGTGTATCACAGCTCTCGAAGCATCCGGTTAAAGAAGGTGTTAAGGATATTATTTATAATTTTAGTTTATACTATGACTTGAAAATTTTTCTAGTGTATAAAATAATATAAGGAATTTAGTCAAACTTCTGTTGACGAATATTTAAAAATAGTTAGAAGTGTATTTTATTTGAAATATACAATTTGGGTGAGCGAAAAATATTTCTTTATATATATATATATTTTTTTTTACTAATGATCACTAATAAAGAATATTATGATAATTGGAAAAGATTACAAAGAGAAGGATAAGGACAATAGAATTCTTATTACAACTAATATTTGTAAATTTTACTTTATAAAAATTTTGATTTATATGATATACTAAAAAATTTATTTTAATTGATAGATAACTAATTCCGTATCTTTAGTGGATCATATAGTGCGAGTGTTTCATACTATTTGTCTTATTTTATTCTAAAACATTTGATTTTTTTCAATTTATTACTTTTTTTTTATGAACTTGAAGAATTCAAGAAATTGAAAAATTCAAAGTCATTTCTAAAATTCAATCTCAATTTTTTATGCATAAGTACTGCAGAATTATACCCTTTTTGATTACTTTTTATTTTTTTTAATTCACTTTATAAGTTTAAGAATTAGAAGCCAATTCAAAGCCAATTTGAACATTTAGAATTTATTATTTATTTTTATACATAGTATAGCCTATTTTAAAATATACTTTTTTGGTTTTATTTATTATCTAATTCATATTTAATTTGTCTTTTTTTTTTCTATTTTTCTTTCATCTATAATCAATTTTTAATTGCTTTATTGTAATGAATTTTTAATTT